AAAAAAATGATTTTGACATTTTTTCCCAAATCATATTTCTCAAGAAGACATCTGCATGAATGGCGTGCTCTCAAGTTATTTATTTGTGTGAAAATCGATTACGTACTGGACCGCACGTTCCAACCAATGCAACATAATATGTGTGTCGGCGCAGTGGAAACATGTTCTCTCACACTGGGGGTTTAAGAAAATATACCAAACACAAATCGCACATCATGCAAAGTACTGTATCGCGAACCCAGTTTGGGCATAGGAGGACAAAACAGATTCTCATCATTCGAAAGACACCGTGAAAGTACTTCAGAATTTTGGCATTTGCAACGGGGCAACAAATAAAATCTGCAAGGTCATCCGCAACAAAAAAAATGTGTTCAACGTTTCCTGCAAACCATGGATCCTAGGCGGAGTTTGATTGGACAATGTTTTTCACAAATGTTTGGTATGAAAATCGTTTGGGAACACGTCGTCCAAATTTCCGGTGGGAAATTCAACAAACGCGTTGGAACCTATTGCAACCAAACATGTTCGGTCGACATTGAAAGTCGGATTGTTTAACGTTTTTTATTTTTCCAATTGCCGTGTTTGATTTTGCTAAATTACCGCGCCAAACTATGCCGTTGAGAAACATATTTCAATGGATCCGACTGAAACATGAAGATGGGAAAATGGAATTAAGGAATGAAACGGATGAAATGTCCCTGTTTAAGATGATGAATCCTTGTTTCCTGTGAAACTTTGGTCCCATCAATGTTTGTTCGACATGACAAGCTATGCCTACGCAGACCCCTCCACCCGCCAAGCAGTGTTATTTTACACAATTGGCCAAAAGTTTGGTTGGCATCTGACCTGTCTGTTACATCTCCTTTTCGGATCTGCACCCAAAACAGGTAGATCAAACTGTGCCCTTACCCCATTTTCAGGGCGTGGTCGAGCGGGCGATTGAAGCCCCACCCTTGAGCCAAAATTGGCACCGGGGGGATTCACCTCAACCAAGCTCAGGCATCACATGTCCCACCTACATGAATGTAATTATGAGACAAGCTATGCCTACGCAGACCCCTCCACCCGCCAAGCAGGGTTATTTTACACAATTGGCCAAAAGTTTGGTTGGCATCTGACCTGTCTGTTACATCTCCTTTTCGGATCTGCACCCAAGACAGGTAGATCAAACTGTGCCTGTTGCCAACTTCCACTTACGGCCCAAGAATTATCCTGCTTGCTTAGTGTAGCTGAGCGGGTCTAAGATGAATTGCTATCTGACTTCGAAGAAGAAGAGGAGGACCCCGAGGAAGATGACGCTGCTTGGCTCTTCAGCTCCGGGAAACACTTCCTGCAAGCGACCTTCGGGTCAGGGAGATCGCTGGAGATTTCAAAATTGGTGTGTGGCCCGCCGAATCGCCAAGCACACCGTGTTCTCCATTCTTTGGGATGAAAATCATCTCCGTACACTAAAGACCGATGGGTCTTTCCTCCGTTGAGGTTGATGACGATGGGGTCCGTGATCTTGGGAGGCTCCAAGTCCCCAATTGATGCTTCGCAATCCCCTAGCATGTCCGGGGTCGGGCATGCCAGCGTTGTTGCCAACCCCGTTTGTGCCCTGCGCATCAAGTCCTGGAGCTGAGCCTTTGCCGTAGACAGCGACAAGTGAACCGATGTCTCCAATGCTAACTTGTCCAGCTGTTTCAGAGGTGCATCTCTGATGTACTGCAGGAAGACTTGGCTGCCCCAGCGCCCAAACAGCTGGATTCTCCAAAGTTCTACCTGACTTGCTGCCAGGTGTACTGCTCCAGATGCTCGAGCTGTGTGCCCTGTGAAGCATCTGGCCCCATTGGGGTAGGTGCATGGCAGCTTGAGGATCTTGCCCAGCTCCTCAAATGTGTCAGCCCACCCGGTTTTAGACGCGGGATTTCCATCGGCGGCTGGGAAAATCGGTGTGGACGGGTCCTTGCCCAGCCTGGCCAAATGGTCCACCATGTTGTGGTAGGGACACTGTGCAACCGGAGCGAGCTCACAAGAGCAGGTGTGGCTCCGGGTGGCTCCCAACGCTCTCCAATCGGTTTTGGAGTTGGGAAGGCGCCAGTCGATCTTCTTGTCCTCCTCGTGAACCGTGATGTGGCCCCGGATGGAGTTCGACGCCTCAATCTCCCGGAGGAGCCACCAGGATGCCAACAGAGCTGAGCGCGCGGGCCACTTGGGTCCAGAGCGGGCAAGTGGCTCTTCACCCTGTAGGCTTGCTAACTCTGCCAGGGGTAACGGAGCAGCTTGCTTAGGGTTACCCAGGTTACGATTGCAGCTACGCACTGCGGCTCTGTAGGCCTGCTGCAGCTGGGATGTCCAGCCGTACCCGGCCGCGATGTGCTGGGACTTGGCCGTGTCCAGGTACAGCTGCGCAGAACGGAACCCAGCAAGTTTGAGGGCACCCATCACCTCGAAGATGCGGTCCGGCTCAAGGTAGAATGGGTCCTCGTAGCCGGCTTTTGTAGCCAAGGCTGCCCAGAGTTGCTTTCTGGAGGCCGTGGGCCCCTTGGTGGTTGCAGCGCTAATGTCTGCCCTGAGCGCACTGCTGCAGGACCGAGGGTCCGTTATGCACGCTAGCGCAGTCTCGGCGGAACCCCGGCCGTACGGTTTGGGACCGCCTCCCGACGAAGGACGCTCCTCCACCTTGGCGGAAGGTTGGGCGTCCCGTGTGGGAATGGCAAATCCCTCCCGCAGTGGCTGGAATGGTCCCTTCTTCCTATCATGGGCGCCCAGCACCGGGAGGTCCGGAGGAGCCGTCCTCTTTGAGCCTCTCATGGCGCTGACGTGTGCCCAACTGAGACAGGTTGCATGCCCTGCTGTGAACGGGGATGCTGGTAAACTGCCCCCTGCCCACTCGCAGCGTTGCGCCCTGTTTTGCACCGACTACGCGTCGACGATCCAGAAGTCTGGTCCTAGGCGGACTTCGGCCCTTGGGACTCCCTCCAAAGACTTTGGTAAAACCGGAGGGTTTGGTGCGTACACCCTTGACAGGGCATCTGCTTCAATGTTGGTGATGCCTGGTATGTGTGTCAAGAGGTGCAGCCTGTACTTGTCCCTGGCCATATCGATGGAAAACTCGCGGGAGACGACGGCTAGGTCTGGTGCCTTTGCCCGTCCCTTCACTAGTGAGAGCAGCAGCGCTAAACTGTCGCTCTTACAATGAACTCTGGCTTTCCCTTCAAACCTGGGTAGCCACAGGCGACAGGCCACAAGCAAGGCCAACGCCTCCCACAGCGTGGTGAATTTGGACTCGCCGCGTCTGGCTTTAAACTTCAGGAGCTCAAACTCAGGTAGGTCCGCGGAGAACGCTTCTACGAGCTCTCCCGACACCCGAAGCGTGCCCCCGATGCCAAATGGGCAAGCGTCTGTAGTGATGTTGATTTGAATTTCGGGTAGGAATGCCTTCAGCTGTCTTCGCAGCGGGGCTCCTTTACCCATCAGCAAGGCCCTGATCCAACCCAAGGCTGGTCTTATCCTTCGGACGTGTACCAGCCTTCCGGAAATGCCCTTTGTCGGGGCTCCGTCATCAGCCATACTACGGCCGAAGGGCAAGACCGCCCACAGCGAAGAAAGGAAAGGCCTCAGGTGTGGAATGAGCCCCGCGATGAAGGACAAGGCGCCCACATAGGACCTCAGCTCTTTCACACCAACAACCGGCCTGGCTAGAAACTTGTCCGTGACTTCCACCAGCTTGTCCACCTTGTGTTGGGCTATGGTAACTTCCACCGCCGCTTCTTCGTCCAGGAGCGTCACGACCGCCCCAATCCAGTTGACTGATTTTCCTCCTGTCGATTTGGACATCTTGATGGGGTAGCCCAAAATGTTGACCCACAGGAGAACTGACGTCAGCTGAGTGATGGCGTCCTCTCTCGACCCAGACATTGCTATTGCCGGGTCGTCCACGTAGAGTTGGCAGGTGACTTCCGGCTCCACCGCGACGATGGTTCTTGCGAGGAATGCCGCAAATCTCCCCCATACTGTCGGAGAGCTGGCCGCCCCAAACACCAAGGTGTCGAAGATTACCAGCTCCATGTCATCGTCGGCCTTCTTCTTGGGCTTGGCCGCCACCAGCGCATATCGGTCTTCCATGACTGGTATGTTCATGAAAGCGTCCCTGATGTCAACTGCTGCAATCCAACCTCTTGGGTCTCGGCGGTAGCCTTCCAGAATCCCTGCAACCAAGTCTAGCAGGCGTGGCAGGAGCACCCGCTCGCCTTGGTGGCATGACTGGTTCGCTCCGGACCTCTTGAGGTCCCAGATGATCCTCGCCTTCTTTGTGGTCTTGCCAGCGTCGACCTTTTCCTTTACCAACACACCCAGCTTGTTGATGATGGGTTGCCTGCCCAGTTCCTCTTCGGCATGCTTGATGGAGGGTGACAAGTGGCAGAATCCCCGATTGACGTAGTCGTCAATGAGTAGTTGCAGCTCGTTGTTCTCCTGCTCTGCCGACGCGTAGTTCGTCCAGCCTTCCAGGGATTCTATGCCCATGTGTTCGGCTTCCACCTCACCCATCTGCTTGGTAACCTCCGGGAAGATGCCAGTGGACACCACCTGTTGCTGGAATCCCATGGGTGCGCCGTGGTCCAGCCAAGATGCCAGGAGAGCAGAGTCCGGGTCGGCCTTCCATCCCGCTACCACGTCTGCCCTGATAGGTGTTGATGCCCTCGCAGACCTCGGTCCTCTGGGCTTCACGTTCCAGAGGGTGTTCAGGATGATGTCTCTGAGCTTGTCCACCAACACAGTGTCGTAGTCTTTGGGCGTGCCTCCGTCAAGAATGGCTGCCGCCGGTTCTCTCAGCGCAGGCCATAGCTCCTGTGCCTTCCTCAGAAGCTGTCGGATGGGTTGCCCTCTCTCTCTCTGGCTCCCAGTATCCTGTCTCGGGAAATCTGGGGGTTTCTCATCCCTCCAATGGCCTCCATGTTTTCCTTCTCTCTGATGGTGAGGCCAGTGTCCATCAGAGCGAATTGCACCACGGGGTCACGTCAGGGAATTGGAGTTGTTGCCAACTCCTCCCTCAGCCAGGTGGCCCCTGTTTGCGTGGCATGAAACGCCTGGGCCAGGATGTTGGAGAGCTCTGCAGTGTACTCTCCCTGGGCTTTGGATGCCCGCTCTCTTCGTCCTTGGCTGTTGACCACCCATTGCTGGACCGTGGACGGGTGCGGTGCCTGGTACACCGAGCCGTCTCCCCGCGTTTGTTGTTGCGGAGAGTGGTCACACCTAAGGTCCCTGAGCTTTGCCAGGTCGATTCCCCTCGATGCCAACCTTGTCGGCTTCCTCGTGGCCAACCCAGTTTTGCATTGATCAAAGTAGGTGTTGGAGTCGGCCTTATCCTCGAGGAGTCTCTTGATCGCTGGCATCACCCATAGGCTGGGCCGGTCGTCGCCATGATCTGGATTTTCCAGGCACCAGGGCTTGTCGTTCACGGATTGCGCCGAAGCTGCAGATGCCGACCTGCTGACTAAGACGTTGGCTTCTTTCACCTGTTTCTGTTCAGCCAGCGTGAGACCCGCTTTGGGAAGCCCTTGGATGTGCTCCAGAGTCCTCAGAACTCTGGGGCCAGGTTGCTTCTCCCGCAGCGGTGAGAACGTCTCGCATGGCGTGGCTATCATAAGGGCATCGAACTTGCCCGACACCAGGTCTGTCCGGACGGATTCCCAGGTGGCTTCACACAAGATGTTGGTAGGGCGAGGTGCCACCACATCTATTGCGCACACCCTCCATCCCAGATTGCACAGGGCATGTTGTAGATCGCCCTCCCTGCTGCGGCCGGAGAAAAGGATGAGCGCCCAAGGCTTGAGCCGGGCATCTCCAGGGCCATGCATCCAGTAGCCATACTGCCGAGGCGGGCATGGGTCCTGCCTGATTCCCATCGTCGGCGTCGAGGCTGGTAGAGACTGCTTGTTGCTCTCCTCTTCAACTCTTTGCCGCTTGTGAGGTTGCTGAGGTTCCGCATCCCCCTGCTCGGCCTTCTTTGGAGCGTCTTGTGGGTCAGCTGGCGATGGTCTTCTGTGCTTCTGGATAGCCAGGAGCTGTTCCTGAGTCGGCGGAAGTGTTGGTGACTTCGGCCTTTTGGCTCCCTTTCCTGCTGCTTCACTCTGTCGTGGTGCCTCTTGTGTCGGGGCTTGCGCAGGGGCGGCACCGGATGCCCTGCTGCCCTTTCGGGGTCAGTTGGAAGCAGTTTTGCCCGGGCATCCCACGGCTTGATGGGGCCCGAGGCACAGGTTGCACTGATGTGCCCTCTTCGCTTTGCACTTCCCCTGTGCTGCCGTTGAGCCGCACTTGTTCTGGTTGTAGTTCTTGCAGATCTCGACACCCCTCCGGTTGATGGTGTAGATCCCCGTGTCGTCCTTCTTGGAGTGGTCCATGCCCGTGTATCCTCTGCGAGCTGCCTTGGTCGTCTTTGTCCTTTTCGTAGGTGACCCAGTTGGACCCTCCGTCTGGCCCTGTACGGGTTCTCGCTTGTGGCGCGCCAAGAAGAGCGTCGCTGGGGTGTGCAGCTCACGGGCCCAATATTCGTGGTCTTTGCACGCCATTCCGAAGCATGCTGACCAGGGTGACGCCTCTGTGAACCCCATGGCCGGGGTGCTTCTCAATTGGCGCCGTATGCGCTCCAGGTGCTCTGACCGCATCTGGGAGTCGGCCTTCGAGATGAGGAACCACGTCTCGTCTCCAAACTGTGTGACGAAGCCCCGGATGGTTTCTGCATAGGAGTCCAACCTCTCTGCATCACAACACGCCCCGAGCAGGAGCATGGCCGTCCTGAAGACCCGCCAGCATTGGTACCAGGCATGGTACGAGCTGGGACCCGGGAGCTCACGTTTGCTCCACTCTCCAGTGGCCACATTGAGCTGGTACCCCGTGAACGTCTGTTTACGGAGCATCCGTTGTCCGTGTGGTCCGAAGACCGTGAAGCACGTAAACGGAACTGCTCCAGCAGCAAGTACTTGACGAAGTGCAGCCACTTGATCACCGCTAGGATCACAGTCAGCGTTGGGGTAGTCGCCGAACTTGTCCTTGTAGGACTGATACATCTGGGCCTGCTCAACTGTGGACAACGGCTGTATGTCCGCGTCTAGTGTGGGGTCCAGGACCGCTGAAAGCTTGAGCTTCCTGGTCATTGGAGGGTTGCCAGCTTGGGCTCCTCCCCCTGGATGGGCGTTGCCACCCGCTGGAGGAAATGGAGCGCCAAGAGGCATGGGTAGGGGCACTGGCCCACCCCCTCTCTCATCCGGGGTACGGCCAATCCTCAGGTGACACACCCTCCTGAAGGATTCGACTCTGGCACCCTCGACCGGGTTGAGAGGCCTGACATTGGGTGGCCCTCCAATGGCTGGGTCTATAGCTTCCGGGACCACCAGCCTCGCCACTGCCTCGTCCCAAGCCTGTCGGTGGATGAGCGGCACTTCACGTACGCGTTGCACTCCTCCCATTGCATCCAAAAGTTGCTGCTGAAGGTCGCCAGCGACTCCAGCCCAATCAAGGGCGTCTTGTACTGACGCTATTTGTTCCAGCTCAGCGTCCGTCGGATCCATGCCGCCTGACAATGGCCGGACCCTCGTTGAGGATCAGTGGCGATCCAGCGGCCTGGGGCGGCCTGGGTGTAGCGGCCCGGGCACGTAGAGCTCTCCGGGCAATGTTCGGCTTAGCTGCCGGTGTATTCCTCAAGGTGGATTGCCTGTAGGCACCGAAGGCCAACGAGATCCTCCTCCGGCGCCCCACGAAATAGATCGCCTTGTGCACCAGCCTCTCCCAGTTGCCGGGCTGGTAGAGGGCTCGCCACCAAGAGGTCACTCGGGTGAAGGCTCTAGAACTGAACCACCCAAGTAGGAACCCCGCGGAACCGATGACCACCCACGAGAGGATAAGTAGGGAAGGGAGCTTGGTCGGCTCCTCCACTACCCCCTCAGGTTGGGTGACCACCAGTTCCATGCAAGACTAGTCCCACCTGTGGTCCGATTGAAGCCCCACCCTTGAGCCAAAATTGGCACCGGGGGGATTCACCTCAACCAAGCTCAGGCATCACATGTCCCACCTACATGAATGTAATTATGATACAATACAAAATAATATATTATAGTATAATATAATATCGCATAATATAATATAATATTACACACAGACCCCGAGGTTTGCACAAGCCCAGAATAGCGTATATTACACGGATTTTTTGTTCACACTAATTTTACATATCATATGAATTTCCCACCCCCGTTAAACTTCTACATTCATTGAAGATCTTCAATAAGGGTTTAATTCTCCCATCCCCGTTAAACTTCTACATTCATTGAAGATCTTCAAAAGGGGTTTAATTCTCCCACTCCGTGTAACTTTTACACTCGTTCAAGATCTTCAATAAAGGTTCAATAAGGGTTTAATTCTCCCACCCCCGTGTAACTTTTACACTCATTCAAGATCTTCAATAAAGGTTCAATAAGGGTTTAATTCTCCCACCCCCGTGTAACTTTTACACTCGTTCAAGATCTTCAATAAAGGTTCAATAAGAGTTTAACTCTCCCATCCTCGTTAAACTTCTATACTCATTAAAGATCTTTACAAAGGGTTTAATTCCCCCAGCCCTGTTGAACTTTTACATTCATTGAAGATCTTCAATAAGGGCGTAATTCTCCCACCCTCGTTTAACTTCTACATTCAATCAAGATCCTCAATAGGGGTTAATTAAATCCTGTTTATGTGGAGCATATCGGTGATCATCATCATCCTCATCATCATCATCCTCATCATCATCATCATCATCATCATACCCGGACGCTCGTTGCGAGTCCGGGCAAACACTCCAAACCCTCCAAAACCCTCCAAACGCTCCAAAATCCTCCAGACCCTCCAAAACCCTCCAAACCCTCCAAACCTTCCAAAACCTTCCAAACCCTCAACCCCCTTCAAAACCCTCCAAACCCTCCAAAACCCTCCAAACCCTCCAAACACCTTCCCCAACATGCAAGCCCGCAAACACTCCAAACGCTCCAAAACCCTTCCAAACACTCCAAACACCCTCCAAAACCCTCCAAACCCTCCAAACCCTCCAAAACCCTCCAAACCCTCCGGGCGCTCTCCAAAACCGTCCAAACCCTCCAAACACCTTGTCCAGCAGGCACCCCAGGGCCAAGGCCACTTCCCCAACAGGCACCCCAGGGCCAAGGCCACAGCAATGGCTTTCTATGGGCTTTCAAAGCTGCCGTTTGCCCGCCTGCAAAATCTCCAAACTGCCAAAACTTTCCAAACCCTCCAAACCCTCCAAAACCTTCCAAACCCTCCAAACACCGTCCCCAGCAGGCACCCCAGGGCCAAGGCCACTTCCCGAACAAGCACCCCAGGGCCAAGGCCACAGCAATGGCTTTCTATGGGCTTTCAAAGCTGCCGTTTGCCAGCCCGCAAACACTCCAAACCCTCCAAACACCCTCCAAAACCCTCCAAACCCCCCAAACCCTCCAAAGCCTTCCAAACCCTCCAAACACCCTCCAAACCCTCCAAAACCTTCCAAACCCTCAACCCCCTTCAAAACCCTCCAAACCCTCCAAAACCCTCCAAACCCTCCAAACACCTTCCCCAACAGGCACCCCAGGGCCAAGGCCACTTCTCAATCAGGCACCAGGGCCAAGGCCACAGCAATTGCTTTCTATTGGCTTTCAAAGCTGCCGTTTGCCAGCCCGCAAACACTCCAAACGCTCCAAAACCCTCCAAACGCTCCAAAACCTTCCAAACACTCCAAACACCCTCCAAAACCCTCCAAACCCTCCAAACTCTCCAAAACCCTCCAAACCCTCCGGGCGCTCTCCAAAACCGTCCAAACCCTCCAAACACCTTGTCCAGCAGGCACCCCAGGGCCAAGGCCACTTCCCCAACAGGCACCCCAGGGCCAAGGCCACAGCAATGGCTTTCTATAGGCTTTCAAAGCTGCCGTTTGCCTGCCTGCAAACGCTCCAAACTGCCAAAACCTTCCAAACCCTCCAAACCCTCCAAAACCTTCCAAACCCTCCAAACACCGTCCCCAGCAGGCACCCCAGGGCCAAGGCCACTTCCCGAACAGGCACCCCAGGGCCAAGGCCACAGCAATGGCTTTCTATGGGCTTTCAAAGCTGCCGTTTGCCAGCCCGCAAACACTCCAAACCCTCCAAAACCTTCCAAACGCTCCAAAATCCTCCAAACCCTCCAAACACCCCCCAAAACCCTCCAAACCCTCCAAACCCTCCAAAACCTTCCAAACCCTCAACCCCCTTCAAAACCCTCCAAACCCTCCAAAACCCTCCAAACCCTCCAAACACCTTCCCCAACAGGCACCCCAGGGCCAAGGCCAGCCGTTTGCCAGCCCGCAAACACTCCAAACCCTCCAAAAGTTCAAAAATCCTCCAAACCCTCCAAACACCATCCAAAACCCTCCAAACCCTCCAAAACCTTCCAAACCCTCAACCCCCTTCAAAACCCTCCAAACCCTCCAAAACTCTCCAAACCCTCCAAACACCTTCCCCAACAGGCACCCCAGGGCCAAGGCCACTTCTCAATCAGGCACCCCAGGGCCAAGGCCACAGCAATGGCTTTCTATTGGCTTTCAACCCCAACAGGCACCCAGGGCCAAGGCCACTTCTCAATCAGGCACCCCAGGGCCAAGGCCACAGCAATGGCTTTCTATTGACTTTCAAAGCTGCCGTTTGCCAGCCCGCAAACACTCCAAACGCTCCAAAACCCTCCAAACGCTCCAAAATCCTCCAAACCTTCCAAACACCCTCCAAAACCCTCCAAACCCTCCAAAACCTTCCAAACCCTCCAAACACCCTCCAAAACCCTCCAAACCTTCCAAGCCAAAACCTTCCAAACCCTCCAAAACCCTCCAAACCCTCCAAACACCTTCTTCAACAGGCACCCCAGGGCCAAGGCCACTTCTCAACCAGGCACCCCAGGGCCAAGGCCACAGCAATGGCTTTCTATTGGCTTTCAAAGCTGCCGTTTGCCAGCCCGCAAACACTCCAAACGCTCCAAAACCCTCCAAACGCTCCACCCCAGGGCCAAGGCCACTTCTCAACCAGGCACCCCAGGGCCAAGGCCACAGCAATGGCTTTCTATGGGCTTTCAAAGCTGCCGTTTGCCCGCCTGCAAACGCTCCAAACTGCGAAAACCCTCCAAACCCTCCAAAACCTTCCAAACCCTCCAAACACCGTCCCCAGCAGGGCCATCCAAAGGCTTATTGAATCCCCATGAATCTATCTATCCATCTGTCCAACAATCGATCTATCCACCTGTTTATCTAACTGTCTATCTACCTATCTATCAATCTATCTCTCTCTCTCTATCCCTCTATCTATCCATCGATCTATCTCTCTCTCTCTCTATCCCTCTATCTATCCATCGATCTATCTCTCTCTCCCTCTATCTATATATCTATCTATCCATCCATCCATCCATCCATCCATCCATCCATCTCTCCCTCTCCCTCTCCCTCTCCCTCTCCCTCTCTGTCTCTCTCTCTCTCTCTCTCTCTCCCCCCACAGTGCCCCCCAAATAGAGGGGGGTCGGCGGCACCTGGGCGCTAGCCCATTCTATAATACAATATAATATTATATATGTATACATACTACACATGTTACATTGCTTAAAATAGCTTAATTATATATATATATTCGTATTTGTTGTTTCATCATTTGTCTTTATTGGTCACTGTTTGTTCCGCTTGGTTTCGGAATAAGATCCTGACGGCGAAAGCCAGTGGATAGTGCCAAAGAAGTGGGAGCCAGTGCCTGTGTCAAACTGTGACCGTCCGTGACCGTTCTTCACAGCAGCTCCACCAATAGCCCCGCCCTACAACCAGCGCAACCAGCACCTGCATCCTTTGCAGTCAGCAACTAGCTCGTTCACTCCACCAGCTTTCACTGGCGGATGCGCAAACCCGGATCCATCAACGAGCGATGCATATGCTAAACCGAAACAAAGTGGTGAAGGTAGAAAATGTTTGAATCTGAGCATCACTTTTCAAAGTGAAAGCAACAGCAAAACGGAACCTGCTTCACCTCTTGGTGGAATCCACACAGCAAACACGATCCTTAGTCCATCGATATCTTAGATTTTCTTAGACTACCTTTGGGTCTTAGTACAAGGCTGCACAGTGCCTCGTTGGAAGCCCCAGCTTTGGTCCAGCACTGGTGACTCTCAGACTCCGACATTCCAATCAGATTCAGAGCTGCGACGCCTGCGAAGACCGTGGTCACTGAGACCTGCGAGATGACCAAGGTGGCGAAAAGTGGCAGAAAGCAGTGGCGTTTCAAAAATCTCAAAAACAGTTGCTATTGATAGACAAAAACTGGAGTTTGCAGCGACCTGGCCTGGAGCGGTGGACCCATGATGAAGAATCCTCCTATTAGGATGGTGTTTACGCCTAAAGGAATGCCTTGGCTGCACCGCCAAGGGCCATGCGGCGCATGCCATGGTTCAAGACAACTAAAAGTCGCAATGGAGGCATCCAACTGGCTCCAGTCTTCCCAAGTCTTCCTTGGCCTCCTCTGGATAGTCTACCAATGTCTGCCAAATATGAATTCAGTTCATTGCCTGACATTGCCTGACTCTAATTCAGTCTGAGTGGCCGAGAATTGCCAATCTCTTCGTTTCGTGACCAAAGGGTGTGAGGCAATTCAGTAGGTTTGATTCAAAGGACCCGATGGCCTCGCAGTCGAAATTGCATCGAAACCAGTATCTCGTTCTTTTAAATGGAACCAGGGGATATCCAACTGCTAAAACCACTTGAGGCCGGGGGTGGATGACGAAAGCTAGGGGGGTAGGAGAAAGAAGGAAGGGAAGAGGTGAGTTGCGGAGGGACTGTCATCATCGTGTCGCGGCATTGTTCGTCCCAACGAGGATGCAACAATGATATATGATATATGATATATAACAATGATATATATGGGGGAGGGGGCGGGGGGGGGCCTTTCGCGTGAAAAATCACGTGATGTCCTTGGGGAGCCCCGGAATACTTGCTAAAGCAAGAAGACTCCAGCTAGCTGACGCTAGCTTTCGTGATAAAACAAGAAGCAGTTCGAAAAAAAAACAGAAACGCTGACAAGGCACAGCCCCACCCAAAGAATATGAGACGATGACCTGCAGCGCTCGGATTGTCCATCTGTCATCTTTGGTCGTCAAGATTTTCACTGAGGTCCACACCCAGTAAAGGTCATAGCATTCAAACGTCAGAACAACAACTGACATCACAAGCCTCAATTGCCAAAATTACCAAAGAACAAGATGAAATGATGAAAAAGAGAATCTTGACATCTTGACATCTTGACATCTTGACATCGTGTCAAACATGTGAAACTTTGGACTATGCAACAAAGTCTTGCTGCAGAGTGACATGGACACCATCATGCAAGACAGAGCAACCTCAGCTATCGCGTGGGTACTTGCCAAGTAGTCGCAAGATGCACCATGGATCACTGGATCACCATTGTTTTTTGATGGTGAAATGATGACAAGGAGCATGCACACGTACTCGAGGATTCAAACTGGAGAAGACAACCTCAGACTGTGCACTCCAAGGCATCCCCCAGAAAAAAAAAACGCCGCAGGCATCCCAAGGCGCCTTGTGTGCGATCCGAAAAATCAGACAGAACAGGTACAGACAGGACCTGGGCACCGGGCTGGACATGTTTAACATATGTACGCAAAAATCATACAGTTATTAGATACATGATTTAACATGGCTCAATTTGTCAAAAGGATGCTCAAAATAATGTAACATGGTCTAACATGGCTCAAGACATCTCAAGACTTGGTCATGCAGTGACCCACCAAATGACTGCTGGCAAGGCGGCACAGCTGCGCCGAAGTGATGAGAAGCTTGGGAGCTGTCGTCTGCTATGCGTAGCCGGACCTGCCGGTGGAATGATTGGTTCCTCTTTGTCAGAAACTCTGAAACAAAGAAGCTAAACCCTTGAAAGCCCTTTAACATCCGGAAGTGCAAGCAGAACAGACTCTCCCGTTGGGTTCAATGTTGAAGAGCTGATGAACACAAGTCTCTGCCAAGGACTGTCTGGAAATTTGCAACATTATAATATAATAGTTACATTTAGTGTCATTTAGTTACATCCTGCAAGGCACTGCAAGGATTCAGTTTGGGAAGAAATCTGCTTAGGTGTGCGCCTTGACCTCATGTTGGAGTCCAAAGAGTGCCGCATATCCAGAGAAACATGGGAGCACGACAAAAATGCTTTCCCAGTACACCTCAGGATCCACTGGATGTCTCTGGCACTGCAGTGGCAGGCTACAGAGATATGCTATGATGTACTATGCTAAGCTTTGCGCCAACCTCTCATTCTCACTTTCAACCTGGAAGTCAGAGCCACGGATAAATTGACTATATAGTCTACTGCAAGAAGGTTCGCTGCTTTTGAATCTACCAGTAATTGCAGGGGGAAAAAAACACCGCCAACAACCATCACCACCCCACCACCCCACCACCACCACCACGAGCAGCAGCAGCAGCAGCAGCAGCAAGGCACCAAGGCACCAAGGCACCAAGGCACCAAGGCACCAAGGCACCAAGGCACCAAGGCACCAAGGCACCAAGGCACCAAGACACCAACGCCAACCCACCGAGGTGTCAACTTAACAACTCACATCACGCCGCTCACGGCACATCTTGTGTGGTTTGATTGTGGAAACTCCCAAGCACATCACTCCGCTGAAGTTTCATCACGCGCATTGTTTTTCGCTCGCGCGGGGACAATCAGAATCATGGAAATTCCTACCGAGAGTCCATGACTTGGTACAATTGGCGAACCATACAATACAGTACAACTAAAACAAAGGGTAAAGCTGGTAAAGCTAACTGTGTTTTGCATGGTGGGCGCCACTCAAGATGCGTCTTCAACAACTCTTAAGTCAAGACGGCCCCTGTACCTGGACACTAAGATACCACTGGAACAAAACCACCCCGGGACGCCCGGGTAAGTTGTCGCAGAGTTTTCAAAGCCTAAAGATCAGACCTGCCTTCCTGTGATGTCTTTCCACATCCCAGTCAACGATCTTTAACAAAAAAAGGAATGTCACAGGGGTCCCACCTCTCGTTCCAGCAATCGCTCCTGCAGGCTGCTGCATGGAGAAGCCTGGATCTGCCAAACTGCGTCAAAAGACTGACAGATAGCGAAACTATATACAGATATTATATACATCATTGTACATCTATATGACTATATGTACATTATGTACTATGTAAAATGTGTGACATGGAAATGAGAAGGGTCAGAGTCATGAACTGACATGAACATGGATAACATGGTCATCTTCAGGATCAGGAAGATCAAGGAAAATCGAGGGAAATCGATGAAAACTGGTCAGGAAAGGAGCATTTGAAAACTCGACCATTGGTACCTGCATCAACTGTCCTGTCATTACTGTCGCCAGGATGCCTCTAATGGATCTTCAAAAAGGCGATGTACTCGGCCAACTCAGTGTGGTGACGGGGGAAGCGTTGCTCCAAGTCCATATGATCTGTGATTCCTAGCCAAAAGTGTGACCGTGATGTAAGCCGAGGCGGCTGTATTGGCCCCATCCAGCAATAAGATGTAGAAGTACCAGGCGATGATCTTCCGATCAGGCTCTCTCTCCAAAAAGGCAAATGGGAATATGTTCATGTCACATGCTAAGTGGTTCGCCAGCAAGTACTAACATGACCAAACATGCATGCATCACGCGCGCAATTCAGTTTCTGAAATTCAATTGCCTCTCTTTACTCATCAAACAGTCCTTTGCATCGCAACCAAGTTGCCCTGGCCTGTGACAATCACTTTACCCATCTGAAAAAAAGTGGTCAATTGCCCCGAAGTCACTGGGCCTCCCACAATCACTACGGTCACCAGAGCTTGGAGCTGTTCGACAACCTGGGCCCAAAGGTGCAGTGAAGGGATTCGCCTGAAAGATCAAGAAAGACATGCTGAATCAAATACAAATCGGGTGCTCTATACACTTCTATGCATGACCGACACCTTAGTGCAGCTACAGAATTCCAACAACAAAAGATTTGAGGTCTCTTCGTCAAAGTTGGCAACCCACATGGAAGAAACTAGTGTTCCAGTAAGCAAAATCTCGGCATATTTCCGATGTTTGGTCCTCGGAGAGCGTTTCCAGCCTGGCCCTTGCCAGTCTGGCATCAGTGCAAAATGATGCAAAATGTAAGCATTGTAAAGCTTGGGACTTCAGTGCATGGGTCATTAAATGTCCCCATTGAACATCACCCAACCATTAGGTATATGGTCTGTAATGGCTACTATAAGGTGATGTCCAATATTCCCAAAATGGGACAGTTACCAACCCCTGATTCAGGGACTTCAGACCACAGCTTCCTGTGGCACGGATAAATCCATTGCTGCCAATACAGTATAATACAGGTCAGGTACTCGTCAGGCACACATTTGTGTCGGCACAGGAACCAAGGTGTGTCGGCACTGGGGATGCACATTCCACAGCTTGCCGCCTCAACACTGCAAAGTGCACGGCGCCAGAGGCTCCGTGCATTTCATGTCGCACATCACGCCATCGCGGCAGGAAGAAAAGAGACACTTGGCCAGGCTAGCGCAATTTCCCAGCACGCAGAGTGGGCTGGGCTGTCACTGATGCAAGCCGAAGTATCATCCACTCCTTCACCCAGCAGAGCAGGAGACTGTCGCAACTTTGGGGTCTTGACCTCCACGTCCTTGACAATGCAAGCCTCCTTGTCTGTGCAAAGCGAGAGGGTGTCACCTTGACTTCCAAGACACTCAAGTCGTGCTTCACTGGCACACCTCAAACAAGCCGGGGACAGGTAGACGTGTTCTTTCCTTCATCACTTCTATGTTCCTTTCTTTCCCTTCAGTTTTCAAACCGAAACCACTCAAGAAAGCAAACCAAGAATTCATCAACTTTCATGATCGAGATACAGCCATCTTCTTTTCCATGGTAGAGATTGCGAAGTTTGCAGTGGTTTGTGGAGAAGTCCTTGAGAGAAAAGATCTGAGATTCTGATCAAGCATGGATGCCACAAGCTGGTTGAGTGCCAGGGAAGTTGGAGTGAAGGTCAACTTGTCCGTGAAAAGCTGATTTCCGGTGGCCCGCTTGATGTCCAGCTCAAGAGTATCCTCCTGGATAGAAACGGGTTTGATGTAGTTCAACAACCAAAAATCACTATGAAATGATGAGCCTATGTCCATCAAAAGACACTATAGACACTATAGACACTTAAGTTTGAGCAAAGTTTCGACAATGATGCAAAATGATGACCTAGCTCCATCACAGCTAAAACTACCAGCAACCGTCGGCCAAGCACCATCTCTTTATTTTGTGCCTGCAACAGGGAGTACTGGCCACCGTTGTGTGGATCGTGCTAGGAGCCGTCTTCGTTGCCGGCCCGGGCTTTGATCTCCTCTATGACATCCTGACAGGTGCCATCAGCCATAGCTTCCTGGGCCGATGGACCCAGGTGGGAGAGCCACATTTCATGGCACCCGAAGTGATCACAAAAGCCAACCAAGCGAATCGCGGAGCCATGGCGATGGTCCAGAATTGGTGCAGGTTTTTGCAGCCGCTTCGAACTCAGCTCAATTCCCAAGCTTACAGGCCAAAAGATACATGGAAACGAAATAGAGCCCACAAATTCAGCAACGCCGCAATGGAAGACAATGCGTCAACTTCGTTTGAAATGATGAAAATTATCTAAAATCATGGATTTGGATAGATCGACCATAATCAACATGCGAACACTGAGCATCTCTACAAGTTAAAAGTCTTTTCTTGAACATCTGGGCCTTCCTGGGTGCCCAGCTGGACAAAGACTCGTTGCTGTCACTTTCAATGGAACCGCATGGCGGCCTGCAAAGTCTGCAAATCAATATATCAATCAATGTTGTCCATTGTTTAGAGATAACCAGCATGGTCAAGTTTTAACTTTCTAATACTTGCCAAGGTTGGAAAGAAACTCCAGAGGCAAATACTGTATGTTTGCCAACAGCAAAAACACCACACTGTCCTGACGGCATGTGCCTTTTCTCTGGAGTCACTGGGAGTATCACTCCACTCGTCATGGAGGACAAGCAGCATACAAAAAAGCGACTGTCTGACTCTTTGTGAACATCCGCAGCATCAACAAATACTGATACTGTCTGACCCTACTGTCGCAGTGGCATGTTTTGGCCGTCTCTGTCAGCTTGCACGATAGATTCGCTCTGCATTGTGGCAACTGGTAGTGGCCTTGTTGAATTCTCCATGCGTCGCAATTGGAGTGCTGTAGACTCTAGACTTTGGTTGTTTTTAAATTCAGAATCCATGTTGTCTAACTATGGCCAGCAAAATGTGGCTTGGGCCAAATGATGAAGAAATGTGGTAGCAGCTTGTAGCACTTCACCTTTTCCAAAAAATCTGCATCCAATGGACCCAACGGACCCGGACGCAATGCTCAAAGGGGACGGACAACGCTGCATCCCTCGGCCCCACGGCGAATTTTCTCCAATGAAACGTAGCCCGCAGTCGAACTTTCTGCTCGGATCAGCTCAAAGACCTGCGCAGATGCACAGCCAAGTCTTTTGAAGAGACGAGTGCAATCGATTGCATGTATTTTGTTTATCGTTATAGATGCTATATACCTGTTGATGTTTAACTATTGTTAATCTCGCAAAATCCGCCGGCCTGCCGGCGTGTCTGATTGGAAGGTTTTGTTCTTGTTGTTGTTCTCGGTTTGTACTTGTTCCTTTGTTCTCTTGCTGCGCGTTTTTGCTTCGTCTGAATAAAAGTCACCCCCCCCTTTCCAAGTACTACCACTACTACTGCTACTACTACTACTACTGCCACCACCACCACCACCACCACCACCACTACCTACTACCTGCTACCTGCTACCTGCTACCTGCTACCTGCTACCTGCGACCTGCGACCTGCGACCTGCGACCTGCTACCTGCTACCTGCTACCTGCTACCTACTACCTACTACCTACTACCTACTACCTACTACCTACTACCTACTACCTACTACCTACTACCTACCACCTACTACCTACGACCTACGACCTACCGCCTACCGCCTACCGCCTACCGCCTACCGCCTACCGCCTACCGCCTACCGCCTACCACCTACCACCTACCACCTACCACCTACCACCTACGACCTACGACCTACGACCTAGGACCTAGGACCTACGACCTACTACCTACTACCTACGACCTACGACCTACGACCTACTACCTACTACCTACTACCTACTACCTACTACCTACTACCTCCTACCTACCTCCTACCTACCTACTACCTACCTACTACCTACCTACTACCTACCTACTACCTACCTACTACCTACCACCACCACCACCACCTGCTGCCGCTGCTGCTACTACTACTACTGCTGCTACTACTACTACTACTGCTGCTGCTGCTGCTACTGCTACTGCTACTGCTCCTGCTCCTGCTCCTGCTCCCGC